TACTAATCAAGAATCTCAAGAACTAATGCAAGAATCGGTCTTAAGTGACTAAGTAATATGTAGAAAACATGATTTCATACATTGGTCGAAAACTGATTAAAAAGGTCAATTTTGAGAAATCTACAGGGTACATAATATGGGGGTATATTATCGAGGGAGTATTTTGCACGGTAGTCTGTCATTCTATCTTATGACACTCTTTAATTTTTATGGGTTTTAGGGTATTCTAAAGAGTTGTAATACTGAATATGCAAAGCATTCAGTTTCAATTACTTTTTTATTTTTATTTCATATATTATTATAGAATATTATTTAGTATAAATTTTATAAAAATTATTTTTTTTGATGAACAAATTAAAATAATTATCAATAAATTATATTTTATAAACTTTTCACTTTATTTTTATTTTCACATTCCCCATTGATAATGTCGATATTGTCGATATAGTAAATAGATGCGATAAAGTCTTAGCGGTTGGTCTGTTTTCTGGAATAGGATCTCAAAAGTTTTCAATAATAAATTTGCACCATTCGGGAACATTATTCGATACCTTAGGTCGTACTCCTTTATAGATGTCAAATGCAATGGGTGGCCAGAAGTCACCGAACACTATATATTAATTAGAATTTAATGATTTTAAGTGCATTGGATTTGCCTTATAGAGACCAACATTTTAAAATTAGTTTATACAAACAAACCAATATTGGCTAAGTTTTTAATTTTGAAGTTATTATAGTGTTCGGTGACTTCTGTACAAGATATATGTCACGACTCCACTCCTGATCCCGTACAAAATCTGCACTGTGAATAAATTTTTCCTAGAATGACTGAGTTTCCGCAAAAATATTCATGCGTTTTTGTTAAGAAAATTATTATAAAAACCTCAAAGAATTGACCTACCTAAAAATTTTCTTTATGCCTAAACGTTAAATCGTACTGAGCTAAAAACGAATCCCCACCTTCACACATTTAATGTTCGAAACCAGAGTAACAGTATTATCCAAGATTGATTGATGTACCTTGCTTACCCTGTAAAAAAAATAATCAGGAAAAGGTCCGGTTTTTTAGTCCCGGAAAATCACCAGTTTTGTTAACAAATTTCCGGATTAAAATCTGATGAAAATATGATTAAAAATCCGGTAACTTTGGAACGCGATATCTTATTAATCACAGATCCAATCCGGACAATAATACCACTATATATATATTCGATTTGCATAGTTTTGGCGAATCGAATGGTGGTATTTTGTCCGGATTGGATCTGTGGGTCATGAGATATCACGTCCCAAAGTTACCGGACATATTTTTTCATTTTCCCCGTTTTTTCATTTTTAATCAGATTTTTATCCGGAAATTTGTTAACAAAACTTGTGAATTTCCGGAGCTAAAAAACCGGACTTTTTCCTGATTATTTTCTTTTATTTTTTTTTACAGGGTTACCTATCAGGGCACGAATGATAATGAGTGGGCAATGTGAATAGATAGCATTCGCTTTGATACTATTTATTATAATGTAGATGTTTAGTTTATTCATAGTAAAGAGACACTTGTAACGGTTGTTTTAGCAACTACATATATACCTTTGTAATTTTATTTTTATTAATAAAGATACTTTTTTTGCACACGACGTTTACGAAATAAATTAACAATTAATGAACTACCTACATATTTTTTGAATATATCGTGGGGGGGGGGGGTAATGGGAATTGTGCTAATCTTTTTCGCCTTTAGGGTTTAACAGAAAATGTACAAACGCCGAATCCAGAATTTAATATTTTTCTTTTCGGAAATTGGGGGTTACGGCTACGATATCAATATCACACAAATATTTCAGGTCTATAATTCGAAGCAATTATCCACCTCCAGTTATACTAACATTAATGGAGAAATGCTTTTGACTGTGAAACTGCATAAATAGGGTGACGGGTTAATTTAAGCAAAATCAAAATAATCAAACGAAATAAAACTAAATCAAACTAAATCAAACTAATAAAACTTACCATTACACTTTAAACGAGAATTTATCTATAAACAATGAATAAAGTTTGTTAACACACATCGATTACATGTTTTATAAAGCGGTCCATAAGCCTTAATATTCCTTTATATCCGATTCATTAATAACTCTTCGGATAATATCCCGTTCTTGGTATTATCTGTATCTTTTCTAGCTCAACGATATTCCCCGAAAAATTCTCCGCATTTCTAGGAATCGTCGCTATGTGGTTGTTCTTGTGCGATGTCAAGCAAAAATTCGTCGATGAACTCTCCGCGTGTGATTCCAAAATTTCACCGCTAAAATCGCCAAATCACCGCACGTGATGCAAAATTTATTGCGCAGAGAATCTTGACTCTTACCAAACAAAAACTTACCATTGCATTATGGGGTTATTTGATCTCGGAAATCTGACAGAAATCACAATGGAAATAATACGGAGTGAACTGTTGTGAAAATGAAATATGATGGCAAGATACGAAGTGAAAGTTTTCATGTATAGTTACTTTTTTACCTACCTTGAGGTTTGGCTAATATTTGCTATAGAAAATTCACAATAGGTTCGAAATTCTTATACTATTTGATCGAAATCATACAGTGGTATTTACCCCCGTGGGTATAGTTGTAATATGTATTCGCAAGCGAAAAATTATAAGCATATGCTTACAACGCTTTATCAATAAAAATATGCAACGTTTTATCGTATTTGCAACAAAAGAAAAAGGTATATGAAGAATATATACATTACATTAACAAATACCCAGAGTTCAAGTATAACAGCATTTAATCTCGAATCTTAACGGCCAAAAATTCTTTGCCCAAGCATTCTGGGAATCATAATTTTCGGAGCATGACACATATAAAATCCTTCCGCAGCTTTTTTAATTCACAATTTGAATTTTAAATAAAAAATGTTTTTTATATTTAATTGATTATATTATGGATACTTTGATGTGCCAATATTGAGGTTATTACATAACAGACTAAGTCAAATTTAATAAATTATAAAGTACACTAACTGGAAAAAAGTCTTAAACCACTTTTGAAATGCATATCAATATCATCAAATCATAAACAGAATTTTTTGTCAAATATTCTTTTTTCAATTGGAATAGCTCGGGAATTACTGTAAGGATTTCCAGGTTCTTGATTTAAACGAGCAGAACCCAGAGAATTCAAAATATTACTGAATCTGATGATATTAAACGAAAATATGCATTTGAAAAGCAGTTTAAGACTTCTGTCTGGCTAGTGTAGTTACCATTTTTTTTTTCCAACAAAGAGCGTGTTCTTCTGATATCGTTTTACCAAAAAGAATTAATTTATGTCTTTGTAATATGAAGTAATTGTATAAATCATTTTTATACTCACAATTACTTTGTTTCGGTGACAATAAATAAATGATATTAAAGAAATTGTTTAGACAAGCAATTAGTATTTTTGATTGTCTTGTATTACGAGAGGGAAATTTCCCTCTTATTTATTTCTTGTACATATGTTTGTCAGATCAATGTACATGTAATTACGTAGTCACGGGGTTGGGAAACAAAATTAGGCGTGACTAAGGTGGTAGTGACTATAGAGAAGTTAAATTTCATAACGTTAATAAATTGGTAACGTAATACATGTACATGTACATGTAAAAAAGTGTGTTTATTCTTAAATTGTGACTATATCGAGGTGCGACTGTATAGACACTTTTTGTTTACCATTAAAATAGATTGAATGTTGTTTGCGTACTGTTATCCGCCATTTTCCTTTGTTTTTTACGAGAAAAGGTAAGTACTGAAAAGAAAACAAAAAATTAAATTTTAGAAAAATAAAAACTAATATTTAATAGTTCAAAATTATTTGACGATTTGTTTACATTTTTACAGCAACTACATGTACCGTTACGTATCGGACTTGTATTATTGTGCAAGTAATGTTTGTGTGTGTGAACCTTTGTGGCATCTCCAGATTTGGAATTACATGTACATGTACATGTATATGCAAAAACTCCTTGGCATTAACGAATTTTATTGGTCTAAATACGTATTCTAAACTGAGATCCTTTGTGTAAACTCTAAATTTAGAATTTTATATCGATATATAACGATAACGATAACGATAACGATAAGGGTAATAAAGCCCGCTTAACGAAAATACTGGTTGTGCATTCTTTGTGTAAAATCCATAACGACAACAATAACGGTAATAAAGTCCGCTGTAACGAAAGACTGGTTGTGCGAAGATTACATAAGTGAGTTTTTTTAAAACTGATGAATTCCTATCGCTATAAATAACTTTCTGTACAAGATTCATTTTCTGGAATGATGTACTTCGTTAAAGCGGACTTTAATGTGTAGTTTGATGGCGTTGTCGGCTGCTTTAAAAAAAACTCCGTTGTAATTTTTTTCTTTTTCTGCGAAAATTAAATCAGAAAAAAATATAAAATTCAACAATATTTGATAGTTCAAACGAATGTTTATTTTTCTCCGAAAAAATACCTAAGCTATATACCTATATAATCTAGTTTTTTCATTCGATAAAATTGCTCCTTTCTATCCCCCCCTTTCTTATTTCAAGAGATGAGTTATCCTGAAACAAATCAAGCAAATATAAGATCATCTCACAAAATGCAGCCATCTAAAAAAAACCCTTTCATGATGCCAGCATTTACAAATCTTATTATAAGTGATAATTTGATGTTTCTATCTTTCGCATATTCATGCGAATGCAACCATAATTTTTTATTAGATACTCTTAATAACGAATATAGAAATAGATTTTTAAAAAATTCAGATAAAAAGGTCCCCAATAAGTTTTTATTATTTAGGACTCTATTGTCAACTCACGTTGCAAAACAATTACATTGTACTGAGCAATCATGCACTTTATTTGCTTTCCCTGATAATGATGATCTAAGATTTATATCACAACTCAGTTCATATTTATATAACGATAAACGCTATAAAAGTGCAATATCTGGTTTTTTTAAAAAATTATATGATAACATAACGAATGAAAAGTGAGTTTCAACTTGTCTTTTTTTATAAAAATTATGCAAAAATTGTCGTTTTAATTAAAATTGTTTGATTTGTCTTAAAAACAGAAAGCAAAAAATTACGCAGGATCTGAGTTATAAACAAAACAATAAATATTCGCCATATCCTGAACAAAACAACAACACGTGTCTTCCATATTCTAGACGAAACAGCAATGCATCTCCTCAATATCCTGAACAATATGGTTCTGATTTATCAGTTGGATCATATATTTTTGCGCCGCCTTTGGAAAACTTTGTGCGTAATATGATGCCGATTTTTGCTACTGAATATACTATGGAGCCGGAAAGTTATTATGAGACAACTTCGAATTCTAGCCCTCCACAAAAAAAAATTTCTCAAAATTCAACATTGGATTGTAACATAGACTCTAGATTTTTTTAGTTTCCGAATAGTTCAATTTTTAGTGATCTGATTACTTATAGCATTAATATAGTATGCTTGGATCGAAAGAGGCTTGTTTGTTTGTATAAAATAAATTTATGAATGCCTTATAAATGATATTTATTTAAATCTTTATTGAATCCTGATTTTTTTTATAAATTAAATCTTTTTTCGTACTTAAATAACTATACGTATGTATAACTTTCACGAATTTAAATTGTGCAATCTGTCAATTGCCATCATTGTTATGCAAAGCTAGATTACTAATGTGTTATTAGTTCAATACACTGCACTGCTTAATTTTGGACACAAAAATTTTTTGGATTAGAATAAAGTAAAATAAGACAACATGAATTTAATTTTTAATTTTCATTCGTAAAAATAAAATATTATCATTATTTTAATTGTCATTGTCATTGCAGAAGGATAATATAGTCTTTATAAGAGACTATTTGTATATGAGTAACAATATACGAATTGTAAGTGCCGATGCTTTTAACAAAAATATTATAGCGATAGTGATTCTCGATAAACCGGACATTATATAGAAAGACTTCTAATACTTTAAAGCATAAAAGATCTATATCCAAATATATGATTATAAAAAAATACATTATTAAATAGCTGTTGATAAGGGCTATATTGTAATATATTTTTTTATAATATTATTTAATTTGGAGAGCTGTTAGAATTTTTCGAAAATTACTTTTAATAATAATGCTTAAATTTTCAGCACGGATTAATCATGTGACTGAGCTCTGATTTGTTGAAATCTCATGTATCACATCATGTGAAAATATATTATTGGCTATTCACTACAGTTAAAGCTCGATTTAGCGATGAATTGGTTTTCGAAATAACACCCATGCCTGTTATTTTGCGATTATACAGTAACCGGACCATTTGAAATTTTGTATTGTGGAACGAAGCCCTCCATTTTACTGTATTTATATACAAATATTTAATAAAAAGCTCAGAACAAAAAAACTAAGATGCAATTATATTTTTGTTAGGAAATAGAAGAATAGACTAAAAAATATCTATGAATTTTACTCTGATACTTGGAAACATGATCCACCAGCGTGTATATTAAAGTGAATTAAAAGCTTTGTACAAAAAATTCAACGTATAAATGCTAAGCTACAACGAGGAATTGTGACTCCAACACAAGGCCGATGATTTACTTTTCTGCGGCTTCGACTCTTCGGGAGAGTTCAAAGTCGAAATTCCATTGTAATTGAGAGAAGTCTAATCAATCGATTAACCATCAGCAAAAAAGATATTGTGAACTTAAATAATTGCAATATTTGCTTAAAAGGAATTAAATTCATTATGGGTTCCGAAGTTTGATTTGGTAAGTATGGATTAAATCAGAATTCAAAAAAATTAGAAGAATCCGATGTTTCCAAGAGCAATTAGCAGAACTAGGAAATGATAGAAAATTCCGACAACGGTTCTAATTTTTTGAGACGCTGCATAACCTGAAGGAAGTTCAAGCCCTATCGCGCACTTATAGCCGAATTGGAATAACTCCGTTGTCTTTGTCCCGACGTATCGGTATATGCTATAACTAGATTAATTATCTAAACTTGTGACTTGAACTGATTGGTGTAACCGGTTCACAATTCAAACCGAAAAACACAGTTGAATCGATTGAGCCAAATGTATACATGTAACAAGTTCAGTTATTCCTAAATAATCATTATTAAAGTTAGAGTTGATATTGGTAACAATAAATTCAATTATTTATAATCTGTCTAGCAGATATAATAACCAAACCAAATCAGTTAGAGAGATCGAATCTGACGAAAAATTTTTTTGGCTCAATCGACGCAAAATAAACTCGGGAACATTTTTTTCCCTTACCGTTACCATATTCTAAAACCATAAATATTAGTCGGTTGCCCCAGTTTAACCGAATGCCGGTTAGGTCGGTTCGGTTGCGGTTCAAATTACTAGTCTAAACTCCGATGCAGCGTAATATTTTGGTTTGTTTTTTATTCGAGCAGACAATTTAAGGAATATTATCGGATAAAGGCACGATTGCTTGGTTCAATGCTGCATTTGAAAAACAAGTTCTAAATACCTGTACTTATATTTATTACAATCGTGAATATTGTGAACAGAAAATTTTCTGCAGTAGTAGTCATTTAAACAATAGACATATTTGCTAGAATCATGAGTATTTGGAATTTTAAATACCATCTTTGAGTATATTTTATTAGTGATTATGGTTGTATTTTATTTAAAACGACACAGGAACACATTACGCCCACAAAATGCGTTAAATGATGATAAATAAATGAGATGTTTGTATCTAAGATGTTTGACTTCCATTTGTGCGTGTTAAAGAAGAGTAACATCGATGTCTATACACGAAAATAATCAAGATCCTTTTTAATACAGCAAATGCATGTTGTAGGCGTAATATCTTATGCACGTTAACATAAATTGAAGTTCGATGGACAGAAATACACATAATGCTCTATATTATTATTATTTACTGCATTTTGTCTATGTGTAAATGACAATTTTGGAAAAGTGCGCGATAGAATGTAATTGAATAATACTTTAAATACACATAAAGAGTTGAATAATAAAATTTAATGGTGCGTAAGGGAAGTGACAAATATTAGCTAATATTCTAAGGGGAAGGTATTAATATAATCTCACGTGCAAGTGTTACACGAAATCTCAGGAGGGGGAGAGGGATCCCATAACAAAATGGATATTAGCTAATATTTGTCACTCCCCTAATAGTTAAATGTTAAAATACAAGGATAAATATATGCATAAACACAAAAATATCAATTAAACCCTTTGGTTTATTTTAAAATTTTCTAAGAAAATTATCTTAACTATAAAAAGTATAATTATCTCCGTTCAGGTTTGGTAATATTCCTGACTGTAATATTCAAAACAAAAATAAAATCAGTATAAGTAATATATTGAAATAGAAAATTCACTTGCCAATATAATTTTATTAACATTCATAATTATAATCATTAAAACATCGTGGCTATTTATTTAGGGGATTATTATTCATACCCTCCATTTTGTTATTTGTACCCTCACCCTTGCACGTTCTACATGATGATCACATTATACGAGATCTAAGATCACGTAATATACATTGTTATATACATGTACATGTACATGTAGATTTTCATGATCCAAGATCTCGTGAATTGTGTTCGACAAAATTAGAAAATTGGCCGATGCAATTGAATTGCTAACGAACGAACAGGTAAAGTAAACCAAAAATTTTCCTTGGGGTGTTGTATTTGCGTGGGATAAACAGAATAAACAATCATCAATCATAAGATGATTCTTTGCACAGTGATTTATCATTGATCAATAGAGATTTTTTATTAGTTAATAATTAATTGATGCTATTTTATATGCAAATCATGAATAAAATAAAGTTCTTTTACTACAAAAATCATTTCTCCTTGCCAAGCACTCTACATTGAAAAGTTATTTGTATAGTCTACAGAGAGATTACAAAGGTACTAATCAATCTATGCTTAATAGATTCGTTGACTGTGATCCACTGAGAGATTACAAAAGAATAAAAGTATCGTTTGTACCTTTTATTGGTGAGAAACTAACAATTAATTATAACTAACAAAAGTGTTAATTGGTGAGAAACTAACAATTAATTATAACTAACAAAAGTGTTAGAAATTACCTGATCATTTATCAAAATATCAAACAGTCTTCTAGTTGAACAATAAATGATCAACTGGATAATACTGTCTATATACACTAATTCAGATTATAATGAATTTTGAAAAGATATCACTAGTCTTACAATAAAGATCTAATTATATAACTAATCATAGTAATAATAATTGGATGAATAATATAATAAGGAGAGTTGTGATAAAAAACAAATTACTAAGATATTTTGAAATAATCTTTTGATTTAAATATCATTAATTTATTAAATCAAGTAATAAGCTTAAAATTGAGAAATACTTAAAGATAAATTATCTAAAAAGAAATTACAAAAGTATTAATTCATAAAAATTATAAATATTATTATTTATAATAGAAATATATTAGTTTATTTAATCAAATAAGCTATCAAAATCTTTAAATAGTTGAAAAATTTATAAAAAGTCTAGATAAAAATATGCTTTTATCATCTTTTGCAGTATACAACAATATTAATAAACTTTTTCAGGGTGTTTAGAATTATGCATTAGTAAAAAAAAGAACTCATAAAAATTATTATATGGTGCATAACATCTAAAGTCATCAAACATTTGTATTTTACAAAATGTATAAACTTCTTTACAAAGAAGTAAATGCAAAATTTAATCCGTGAATATGATAGAATAGGTCCTTTCTGAGCATATTCACGGATTAAATTTTGTATTTACTTCTTAGTAAAGATGTTTATACATTTTATAAAACACAAACGTTTGATGACTTTAGATGTTATGCACCATATTAACTTAAAGAATATGATATTGTATTATAATCAAAATAATATTTATAACTTTTCCTTAGATCTTATTGAAGAAACACATCATAGACAAAAAAGCACCAGATTAATCAATTATTCTTTTGAATTATATATAACTTAATATGATAGTTTATAATATCTAGAAATTTATAATATAAATTATAATTATGAATATTCAGAAGTAGAGATGGCACAACAAGTATGTGATGCTTATTTGTCACCTGTTGCAACACGTTGCAACTTCAAAATTTTATAAGTCGCAACTAGTTGCAACTAGGTGATGCTTTATTTGTCATCACATTGCAACAGTTACCGCGCTATCTTTATTTAGAAGACATATCAGGATATTTAATTAATAGAATAACAATTAGCAAATATTACATTGAGATCTATAAATTAACTCAAAGTATGAATTTCATTTAAAATCTAATTCTTCAATTCAGAATGTCTGTACGAAGCTTTGATCGATGAGATAATTATAAATAATTTTGTAATTTTCATTTATTTCAAATGCAGCCACGATATTCGCTCTTTTAACATTCAAATGCATTGCTAGATATACGAAAATAGAAAATTTACAATCCTAAGAAATTATTAATTTATACGATGGCGAAAAATCTTATGGCACAAATTTCAAACCAACTCCAACAGTAAAAATGTTTATACAAGCGGGTTTCATTATAACACCACCACTCACGATTCCAGTCATTATATCAAATTAAATTTATCTGTTCCAGTTTTTAATATTGTTATATAAAAATGCCGTTATATTGGGATGCTGTTATAACCCACTTGTACATTACTCCAATCATATTATTTATCACTTGGTATTTTATTCTGAAAAAATGAGTTTAATACTTATTAACAAATGCGATCACCAAAAACAATAGCTAAATAAAAACGCAATTCCAAACCTCTCACAGAAGTCCACCTAAACAAAATAATCTCAAATATTCCAATTCGTTGGAATGCCAATCTGACTTTTCTTTGATTCTCTTCCAGAGTAACCGAAAGGTCTTATGCAAATCCTTTTCAACGCCACTTCCATACCGATAGCTCGCAATAACTTGCTTCTGTGCATCTATAAAACCACCAATCGCCGCCTCTTGATACATCAAAAACATTCTCCGTTCATTCTGCTCATGATAAGCTAAATGACAAAGAGCTTGTGGATGGTTTTCAGTTTCCACAGATTTCTTGTAGTATTCTAGAGCTTTTTTCGCATCTCGCTTAACTGGACTCCCGGTAACATTGTCGTAATACCAACCGATTTGTATCATTGAAAAAGAATCGCCTTTGTCTGCAGCTGATTCGTAGTATTTGAATGCGAGTTCCTCGTTTTGTTTCGTTCCAATTCCGTATTGGTAAAAAAATCCGAGCAAAGTGGAGTAGCGTGGAATTGAGGAACATTTAGACAGTATGGAGAATGCATGACTTGATTGTATATTCGACTCTGTAAAATAATTTTCAAAGATTTGCACTATTTTTGGGTCGTATTCAATGCGACCAATGTCGATTAGTAATTTTGAAAGATACGAAATTAATTCTATGTCGGAAGAAGTGATTAATTCGGTTAAAATCTCTTCGGTTATTTCGATGTTCTCACTTGGCGTGTTATCACTTTGAGTATTATGATCTGTTGATGTCGACATTATAGAAGTAAAAATTTATGTATTATGTCAACTGGGGAAAATAAGCAAGATGGCAATGATAACTACGTAATATATATATATATATATATATATGTACATTATCACATGTGTAACCTTCTGTATTTATACATGAACAGTTCAGTCGACTCTCGATATAACGACCATGCAGATCCTATTGTAAACAATAGAATCTGCATGGTCGTTATATCGATTGTACGTAGTAATCAAACTTTAAAATACTAAAAGTAGTAAATAATTCGTCGATCAATATTCACGTATCGCGTTTTTCCACATTCTGCTTAGATTTAACCGATATTCATTTTTTCTGGCGATTTTGCTTCTGCAGAAATTGGAAGTTGCTTTGCTTTAGCGGGGCGTTTTGGCATTCTTCTTGTTCGGAAGTCTGTACTCGACAATAAAAATGAGATATTTCAAAATCTATCTGCATTTTATAGAAATGGGATTTAGAAAACTAAACTGGTAATATGGTTCTTTGAGATAAGCTCTATCAAGTTACCAGTCATTTTTTAAAAAAAGTTATAAGCATTTATAGTTAGGTGATTTTTATGCTTGGCTCAAAATTGAAACATCTCACATGAATATTTATCATGTAATCTAATTGATTTGTTATAATTCAAATTAGCATTTTATGACATGTCATGTGACTGATTTTATGTTTCATGTGACATTTTTGTCAAACATAGTGTAAATTGAAACAAAAAAAAATCATGTGATTGTTGACTACTTTCTGCACCATACATTACGTTCTGCTGAATTTCGTTTATTTTTAAAAGATCTGTCGTGATTATCCTCCTCTGAGTTTTCAATTACAATTACTGCGGGCTCTTTTTCTTCGCATACAGGACAATAGCATGGTTGTGTTGGCGGTGGGTGATGGTGAACAATAATAACTCTGAGGTTGCAGCTGGGATGATGAACAAACATAGCACACTGATGGTGGAGGTGGATAACAATAGCTTTCAGGTGACGGTGGTGGTAAATGAGAGTATAATTCGGTTATTCCAGCATATGTATGGTTGTCATTTTCCAATAATGCAGGAGATTCAGAAAAAAGTAAAACAATTATCGCGATAAATAAAAGGCAAGTACAAAGAAAAATTTTCATTTTTTTATTTAATTGAATTTTTTTGGTCAATAATTCTATTTAAATTTATCATGAGAGGTATTTTATGTAACTCAAAGGTAATTCTTTGTTCCTTTGAGTAATACTCGTATGCAAGAAAATGATTCATGCGTTCATAATCATATTGATTCAAATGCCATGACTTTTTTTAAAATATATACGATATACCGTTTAGCGACAATGTATGAGCCAATTTATTTTATGGGTTTATTATATCATTACGCTGTATCTGTGAGTACATGTACAAGGTGATTTGTATCTGGGGTACTAAATGCTGTGCTATATGGTAAAAGCGATTTTTCCGGTAATTAGAGGTTTGCCCTTAATTTATCATTGGAATGTTTGAGTAGTGCCTATTAAATTGTTATTCACATATTTGATGACGAAACAAATAAATTCCAAAGAGCAAAACATGCTTCTTGCGGGGAATTTCGAAAGGAGCCGATCTCATTAATATTTAGTTGGTTTAGTTTAATACATGTATTTGAAAAAAATTTAACTTGATAATTTAAAAGGAATTAAATCTTTTGTAATAATATAGTTTTGAGTTATTGCATTTCAAAATTTTTTCTACAAATATCAGTTATACAAAAGATGAAGATAAAACTGGAATCATCTCAAACCTAAGATTTTTACAATTTGTTTAGTTTTTTATTGGCTCATCAACATTCATATATCGATAAATAATATACTTTATATCGCATTCAAAAATATGAAGAAAGTGTCTGCTCCTTCATGAATTTTCTTTGGTTCAATCAATTAGCTATCAACACAAACTGCGTAATGTATTAATCTGCAAGGATAAATTTATTCATTTATTGTACATGTACTGTACGTACAACGTCATCACTGTACAACATTTTTACATTTACATGTACTATAAAAATGCTACACACATATGACGATAATTAAATAATCGATCATGAAAAACGTTGCTAAATTAGCATACTTTAAGCTTGTCACAACAGTTTTACCCTCAAAAATAGTTTTACCCTTAAAGAATTTCAGGTAAGATTCGCTACCAGTAGTCTATACACAAATATCAAGAAATATTAACTATATTATTTTCTAATTTATTAAAATGGAAATTAGTTCGGTATTCCAATTATTACCCACAGAAATTCGTCAACAAATTTTCCGGAATCTAAACAGAGGATCTTTATTCAATTGTCTATTAGTTAATCGACAATTTTGCCAAGAAATTGTGCCAATTCTTTGGGAAGCACCTTTTACATTTGGATCATGTGCTTTGACATGCAGTGACTATCATAGACATAAGATAATTGGAGGAGTTTATGTTGGAAGTTTCTCAGAAGAAACATGGGAGTATCTGCATTCCAACAAAATTAGTCGACCACAGACTATACAACAACCAACATTTAAATATGCGTCATTTTTACGCCATTATAATCTAAGCCAAGTGAAATACGTAGCAGATGCATGGTTAAATTATCCGACTAACGAACAGTCGAAAGCATTGGCAGTTTCCTTGTCCAGACTTTTATTAACTGAATCAGCTTCTCTGCGTTCTTTAAATATCGATTTTGAAGTTGACCGGCAAATTTACAGTCTAATCCCTAAAGAATACTCGGTCCAAAAGTTATTTGCAAATCTCAAGGAACTATATATCTACCAATTTTCATTAGGAAGAAATGATCAACTATTCTTTGAAAATCTGGCCAATACCTGCCATTCAATTCAAAGAATCACATTTGAAGATTATGGTGAAGTTGTAGAAAAAAGCACAGCCGAAGCATTACGACACATGATAAAAGCACAAAGCGAATTACGATGGATTCGACTACGTTTTTTATCAAAAGCCATGTTTAAAATTATTTACAAAGCTCTTTATTATTCTTCAAAAAATTTACGGGCTATTGAATTTGCCAATGTCAACTTCAATCGTTATAGTGTTGATGGCATAGTTCCAGGATTGAGTTCGTGTGTTAATCTGATCTGTTTAAGTTTTCAGCACTGCACAGAGTTAGACCAGCCATTTTTGATCGAAACAGTTAAATCTTTTCAAAGATTGGAATATTTCTCAATTGTATTTTCAACTTATCAGGAGCCGCCATATAATCTACTAGAGGGAATTGTCAAAGCTAGTGGCAACAATCTCCGATATCTTCGTCTAGAAGAAGCTTATTATAATATACTTACTAATTATTTCATTGGCAAGATATTCTCTTTAATTATTCTTAATTCACGCAATCTTAGGGCAATTAATTTGTTTAAATTTAGTATAAAAGATCTGTCCACCTTAATGGAATCCTGTCCAAATCTTCATCATCTGGACATCTATGCCGAAGAATTAGATGATAAATTTTTTAAGATTCTGACAAGAGACCTTCGTCCTACAATTAAATCTCTTAGACTGCATGCTCCAACATATATAGGATCACAAATATCTAGAAAGTCATTGATTCGCTTTTTGGAAGTTGCTCATCGCAACTTAGAATATCTTTTCCTTTATCCATTTATTATCGAGGAATCTTATAAAAAGTTGATCAAGAGTTATGGCATCAAATTAGAAAGGTCAACTATATATGATAGTATGTAGATTTTGTTAAGTTTCTTGCTTTTCTATTTTGATTTAATCTAATTCATCTTTCACTTTATTTATTGATAGGAATATATCCGGATTATTTTATATAAGATTCCATTGGGTTTTACATGTTATTTTCATCTAAAAAAATCTTTATCACGTTTGTTATTGATTATACCTCAATTTGATATTCGAATCATAAAAACTTGCTTTTTCCTTTTACGATCACATATTTATTTTAAAGTCGATTTTCTATATCAAAGTTGCCTTAGAAAATGCTATCGTCATACAGTCAAACCTCGTTAAACTGAGGTGGTTGGTGCTATTACATCTAGTAAAAAATTCAGTATATCGAAGTTTACTGAATTATTTTCCTTTGTTTCGAGTTAAGCACAACGACCAAAAGCAACTTCTATTTCTGCGCATATACGTATTTATCTTATATTTATTATTTTAACCATTACATTTTATCATACTTTATTTATTTTATTCATATTCATCAAGAATTAACTCTCATGTTTATGAAATTGTCGTCATTTACTTGCTATCTCATACAATGGGCAAAATAAACGGTAATAATATACGTAAATACGTCTTCATAGAATTGCAATTTTGTTGACTGCAAAAGAACTTCACATGAAAAATGACATACATGTATTCCGTATGCCTACATGCGTTCTGCTTCATTTGTCCATGCATTGAAATCGATGTTATCTTATGGACGTAATGTGTTCCTGTGTCATCATTTTTAAATAAACACTGCTAACGCTAATAAAATAAACTCAAAAGATGGCTTCTAAAATTTTGAATATTCATGGTTGCGGTAGATGTTACGATGTCAAGTATGGCAATATTGCGATGAGTGTTCAGTTCATGATTGTAGTAAATGTACCAATTGTCAAGAAACCGAGTACTGCGTTGGATGTTTTAAATATCACAAACGAATTTATAAAGTTGAAGATAAAGATATCGACTATCTAATACAAGAATGCAATAATATTGTTAACGATAAATTTTTTGAATGGATCCCTTTTGAAAGATTTACCAATGTTGAAGATCTCGCAAAAGGAGGTTTTGGAACAATTCATAAAGCATCCTGGTTGGTCAGACCAATAAATACCGTGTACAAGTGGAATCATGAAAGAAATAAATTTAAACGAGAAAGAAAGTGCGAAGTTGTGTTGAAATCATTACGCAATTCAAAGCAAATTATATCCGAGTTTATAAACGAGGTAAAATGAACACCTTTTAAAGTGTAAGCATATTGCTTTTGTTTTCCAATATAATTAACTTTTTCAAAAGTAGATTCAGACTGCTCAAAAGTGCATGCGCATGAGTAGCACTATTAGATGTTATGGAATAACTAAAAATCCAGCTACAAATGAATACTTGATAGTGATAGATTACGTATCATGATTGTAGTAAATGTACCAATTGTCAAAAAAAAATGAGGGCTGCGATGAGTGTTTTGTATATCACGAACGAATTTATAAAGCTATCGACAATATCGAGATCTAACATTAATAAAAGAATGCAAAGAAATTGATTATCAATTCGAATGGATCCCTTTTGAAAGATTCATCAGTGTTGAATATCTTGCAAAAGGAGGTTTTGGATCAATCCATAAAGCATCGTTCCACGATTACAATGGGTGTCATAAAGAAAATAAATTTGAATATAATGAACACAAAGTTGTGTTGAAATCATTACATAATTCAAAGCTAATTACATCCGAGTTTATAAACGAGGTAAAATGAACACCTTTTTTAAAGCGTAAACATATCGATTTTTTGTTTTTCAATATCATTCATTTTTCAAAATTTGATTCAGACTGCTCTAAAATCCAGGTCCAGTGGTGGCACTATTAATTATTATGGAATAACCCAGCTGCAAATGAATACATATATTCGATAGTGATGGGTTATGCAAAAGAAGGTGACTTACGCAAATATATGAATTCCAACTATCGAAAATTAATTTGGAACAGCAAATTAGAATATTTATTTTTTAGCATTCATGGGTTAGAAAAAATTCACAATGAGAAATTTGTGCATCATGACTTCCACCCCGAAAATATATTAATATCATCATCGTTATATAATGCTGCTCAAATTTGTTGATTTTGGACTTACCAAACCAGCAGATATAAAAAAATCTGATCAAAAAATTTGCGGAGTACTTCCTTATATGAGTCCAGAGGTACTAAATGGAAGGCCATACACTAAAGCTGCAGATATTTATAGCTTTGGAATGATTCTATATGAGATTGTCACAGGTGAACGACCATTCGGTGGGCAGCGTCATGATATAGATTTCGTATTAGACATTTATAAAGGAGTACGAACTAATGTTCCCGGATGGTGCAAATTTATTATTGAAAATGTTGGGATCATATTCCAGAAAACAGACCAACTGCTGAGGAACTTCTCCACTTTATCCTCTCATCTACATTATCGACTATTTCGATGGAGCGAATACTTTACACTCACAATACTACAGCTCTTTAGAACATCCTAAAACACATAAAGAACTTAGTGAGTGTCTCAAACTAGAATGGCAGAAATTAAACGAACTTGATGAGATGAAATTAAAAGAGAACATCCCAAATGCAGTTTAACCAGTCCAGTCGAATCTTTACCATAAAATTAGTTTCTATTCGAACTGATATAGGTACTTTTTTATTTCGAAATATAAATCATATTGACATTTCACGTTAATTAAAATTCATATCGAATATTTAGGTTCTACAAGTGTCAGTTTGTATGTTCCGAGCGATTCCTTTAGTATACCACACGAAATCAAAGAGAATAAGGACATATCGAGTGTCACAGGAAATTCATAATGTTGCTCTTTGTTAAAAAAAATGGTAAATACTTTACTTTAAAATTTTTATTATTGTTGACTAATCTAGGAGTCTAAAACATTAGCGCTAGAAATCCTGACAGTAATCATAGAATCGATGTCAACTGTGTTTTGAGTTAAAGCATAACGACTAAAAGCAGTTTTTATCGTTTATTAACTTTATGTTAACGCATATATTTTTATCAAAATTTAGTTATTTTATTAATATAAAAGTTATTTTTTCTAAATTTACTTCTTTTATGTGTATTTAGAGTATACCGGACCGAGGTACATAACAAAAAAATGCGATATGTCATTTTTTTCATTTATCATGTACATTTGCGAATATAAATAAATACCTGTTTGTACAGTCAGACCTCCCTATAATCACACCCTTCTGGATATGAAAAACTGTGATTATAAAGTGGTTGTGACTATATGGCGGTCAAATTTCTTACGTTTCATGATAAGTCGGGAACTGAAAAAATGTGACTATATGGAGGTCTGACTGTATTCGTTAATCATCAATTAAATTTAATTCCAGGTCTAATTTATTGTGCTCTTTTGGAATACGATAAAGATTCTTCTTTTAATACATCAAATGCATAATACATAATTAATTTAAAATCCTTTTTCATGCATAACGATAACGATAATGATAACAAAATAATAATGATCATATATATAGTTATACTTAGACTTTGCATAGAGCAATGAAGTTCATATTATGAGACGTAGGGCTATGGAAGAGAGGTCCATAGTTTCACATGTTTATTTTTACGCATAGTGTATATACTGTTTTAAGCATGGTCATCTAATTAGTTTTTGGAAAAATTTAATTCAGCGTGACAATTATGATTCTACCTATTCTTTATGAAACTATCAAAAAATACTTCTTTTTAATCTCAAGATTCCTAGTAGTTCAGCGTCTATGAAAATAAAAATTTTTACTATATCCTTTTAATTTGGAATTCAGCTTTCCTGTCTAATTAAATCAATTTCAGCGACCATGCTTATATTGTATACGCAAGTTACTAAGCAATAATGTTTGGATCTTTTTAATATCTTATCAGGGGTTTATTATCATTATTATCAACTTTGCTTTTAATAAACTACAGATATTATCATCATTATTATTAATTTTGCTTTTAATAAACTATAGACATTGATTATGTATTAATTTATTAATTGATTATTCAAGTATCTCTTTAAACTAACATTTATTACGTATATGACAGTGAAATCCGCAATGCTATACGTACAGTACCCAAAAAGTAACATCCGATTTAAAATTACATATAAATTTTTCTTTCATTTAATAATTAAAACAGTTCTTTCAATTTAAAAGTGATACAAGTCTTGTTCATTTTTTCAAAAATACAATTGATTTAGAAATAGTTACTAATAGAAATGTAGATATATATAACTTGAAATTTTCAATTTTCATGTATAAAGCATGGAAAAATATATTTTTACCCTCCAATCAAAACAGTCCTTGTATTTTAAGTTGCTATAAGTCTTATATTATTTGTTCAAAAATACAATCAATTTAGCTTTAAAATGTTAGATATATACATAGCTTGAAAACTTCCCTTTTTTAGACCGGGCGTTACTTTTTGGGGTACTGTACATTTATACTATTCTATTCCAGTTAGCGATATTGATATCGATACGTATTACGTATTTCTTTGTATCAAAAAAGTGACTAATTTGCTTACCACTGTCATACAATCAATCACACCTATCAAATTAATACCACGTGGGAAAAAAATCGGGAAATCTATCAGTTCTATCTATCAATGTAATTGTGATTGTATTTTATATAAAATAGTCAATACTTCTAAATTAGCGTTTCTAAGTTTGGTCACATTTCTTATTCCTTCAAATATTTTCCTCCGTTTTTTCAATAGAAATTATGGAAACCTGCCCTGACTTTGTGGACGTGGACAATTTTTTCAAACGAACTTCTTCCTCATATTGGGAGGACTATGACCTCTATTTTTCAACAGCAAGTCAACCATCTCATGGTTCTTTTATGCGAGATTTGCAGAAAATAGCGGATAACGAGCATCTTTCGTATTTTCTGCGTAAACGTGCGACAAGTACACGCATCCGCGTCAATGAGCCTCGTAGAAAAAATAGTTTCCTGGCTTTGCAGGATGCTTTCCACTATCGCCAGCAACAAATGCAACTTCGGGTAAGATAATATACAGTCAGACCTCCCTATAATCACACCCTCTGGATATGAAAAACTGGGATTATAAAGAGGTTGTGACTATATGGGGGTCAAATTTCTTATGTTTCATATTAAGTCGGGAACTGAAAAAATGTACTTCCAAATTGTTCTCTGCTGGATTCTCACAATTTGTTTTGTGTAGGTTAACAGTTCATTAAAAGTGGAACACACTGCCAATAGCACGGTAGTTTATTTATTTGGTTGCTTGGGACGGTGATTAAATTTTTTTCATGACAATTGGACCTTCTTTCTCAACATATAGGTTTTACTTCACAAGAAAAGTACAAAAAGTCGTGAAGAAACCAATGGAGACACTGCAAACGCAACATTCGCTGATGCCGATGCATCCGTGAGCGGATACCGTACAGCAGAGCGGCGGAATTCGTTACCGAAAGAAAAAAATTCACTGTATGGAACTTCTCCAGCGAACATTTATAACCTGCCTCAACGGAATCCTTTTATTAACGAATGTTCACAAGGAAGTAAGCACGGCCGTGATACAGAGGCGGATGAAGAGTACAATGCAAATCAAACTGTCATTGGTGGCAAAAATATCGATTGGATCCGTATCAGAGACAGACTGACACGATACCAGTTGAAAAAAAATCCACCGAAAACAAAGCCAGAATACTATGATGTTTTATTTTTCAATATTAACGACAAAAATGGTTTCTTAGGGACATTAGAAGAAAGTACTGTTGCGCAGATGCTTAAGGATATAAAAAAGGAGGAAAAAACGAAAGATAATACGGAACAGGATATTAAGTTACTGCTTGATAGTATTATTGACTACGATATAAAAAAGACCAAAGAGAGACTTAAACGACGGAAAGAGGATAAGGATATTGATTCATTTGAGAAGAAATTCGCGCTGCATTTTGTGAGCCTCATGTGAGTCTATATTTGCTTGATTTCTAGCAAAAAGTGTGAGACTAATTAGCCATTTTATATAGGATAGAACAGATGGAAGATGTCGATTCGTTTCTTGATCATATGTCTGAGAACACTTATATTGTCGATGTTTTGGCACCAGCCCTCCATGACTTCTTCATAAAAAACAAAAAGAACTGGCGTGTTTCTTATGGCGATACATGTCTTAAGGCAAGCGCAAAAGATGATGAACGTCGATCTTCCGGAGAGAAGATTGATATGATTGTTACCTTGAGAGAAGAAGATGAGGAATTCTCCGTCACTGTAGTTAGTGGTTCCCCAACGGAAAAGAATTGGAATCATTTTAAGGGTGATCGGATGAAGATTATGAAGATGCTAAAGTCTTTAATGAATCGATTTGCAGAGCTTCGTCCGGGTTCTGACATTAGGTTGGTTAGGCTATATGGGCTACAGTCATATTGTAAGTTCTGAATACGCTTCACCCATTGTTATTATCATGCGTTACTAACTTTTGGCGTTTACAGTACACGAACTGATCATTTACGAATTCCAGCTCAAGTATACTGAGCTTTACACCATGGAAGGGATTTTAAAGTTCCCCCTACCTAAAAGATGGAAAGATATGTTAAAGGCTCATGAGACCGTGATGGGCTTATTGAAATATGAGGTTCGTATAGATGGATTCAGAAGAAGCAAAATACAAAAATAAAGAATTAACACGAACACTCTTATAAATTAGAATCTGTTATTCGAAAGTTCAAAAACTATACGAGAATTTCTGAGGGTCAAAGGTAGTAATGTTGAGGCTGTTAAGAGGACGACACGAGTTTATACCTCACCTGAATATAATATGAAGAAAACAAAGAAAGCACGGACCTATTAAGTCCACATATATATATACGCTTTTGAAGTAGTAGTGATGCAGAATAGCATGTGTACATAAAAAAAATAAGATTGGCTTGTAAAGGTGTGGTAGTCTCGACTATCACAGCTAAGGGAAGGTATGACCTTATGATAAAACATCGACATCGATATATAAACATATAACCAGTTAAACCTCTCATAATATAATTTTATTTGCAAAATCTATTAGTTTGATATGTTGTGTGGTTTTTCCTCAGTGGTACACATGAGATCCTTCACAAATCTTGATATTATTGTTATGTTGAAGGTATATGAACTCATAGATGAAAAAAGCATTCGAGTGGTATTTAAAAATCAGCAATGCTTTAGGATAAAATAATCTCGGTGTGGTTATAGGAACTCAGAAAGACGAGAGAAAAGCATTTGAAATCAGCAAAGGATGGACAAATCATCTCGGTTATTGTTATAATGAAGAGTTGTTTGAATTATTTCAGTACACGTCCTGCATTTGATTGATTAAATATTTTGATCCTGCGACCCGATTGTTTACTTTAACACTGGTGTTTAGCACTAGAAATGTGATTGAGTAGCGTCATTATTTTATATTATTCTGAAGGTTATGAGTTATATTATTTTATTCTAAATTTTATGAGTTATATTTTTATTAATTGGCTTTACAGCTAAAGAAAAATAAATTTATAAACTTATTTTGATTATAAAATTAATATTGCAAATTTTTATATATACGTACAGTACGAGACACCTATTTCCACAACTGCTGCGTCACATAGCCAAGTTGGGGTATTTGGTCATCCTCCAATTTATTGCAAAAATGTACTCCCACGAATTTTCGTATAAACTTAATTCCAGCCGCATTACCACATAATTCTTTAATTTTGGCTGATAAACTTGGTCTGTATTGCCACAGAATGGCACTATGGTTAGGGATAAGAATAAATTCCAAAATCAAAATTTCGATGAATCGATTAATCAGCTTAAATAAATTCGATTAATTGATTTTCAATTTGAGAATCGATTTTCAATCCAAAATCGATTCTCAAGTAGTTCTTATTACGTGTTATTTTTATTACTAAGAATCAAAATGCATTGGAATGCAGCAAAAAGATATACAAGAGAACATTATAATTATATTTGGCAAGGTTTATTAAAAATTATTCCAAAGACTTTAGATAAAGTAATAAGAATTAATTGAATAACTTGCAAAATATGCAGTAAAAAAATATAAATCTCATTAAAGTGTTTTACCAATTTGAATTATTAATAAATTTTTAATGTTAAAATTTAACATTAATTTTAATGCTGACCAAAATTTGATATATTATTTTTAATGCTAACCAAAATTAAATAACAAAATTAGATTAATTATAATAAAGTCAATGAAATTTGAACTCTTATAACTTTTTAAATTATAGTTAATATAAATAATTTAAATAATCATTTTTTATTTTTTATTATTTTTTTAAATTATACTAAAAGTTATAGAACTAAATATTCTATATTATAGTAATATTTAAATATATAATATTTCTAAAATAAAAAAGCCAATTTTTAGTAATATATATTAAAAATATATAGTTAAATATTTAAATAAATAATAAATATAATATTACTTAATTTTTTTAATTTTTATTTATATTAAATTAGCAATATATTTTTTAATTGTTTTTCTTTTAAAATAAAATATATAAATATATCAAAAAATATAATAAAATAATATATATTATTTTCAAAAAAGATATTAAATTTATATTCTTTATAAAAATATTTTATTTATTTATTGCAAATTATAAAATAAAACAAAAAATATTTATAATATACTTAAAGATTTATCAAAATCAAATTATTTAAGAATTTATACTAATTATAACAAATCAAATATTATATCTAATTTCAAATAATAATTATTTTAATATAGCTTTTATTTAATTTAATAATTTAATTAAAGTTATAAAAATATAATTAGATAATTAAGTATTAAGTATACAAATCTTTTTCAATTATAATATATTAAAAAAAATTAAATTAGAAAAATTTATTATTATATTTGATAATTCAAAATATAAAAAAATAAAAATATTAAAAAAAGAAATATTAAATTAATAAAAAAATTAGATTTATATTTAATATAAATCTCTAAAAATTATAAACAAATATTTTAAAAAAACTAAAAATAAATATATTATTATAATAATAATAAATTTTTAAAAATAATAAAAATATATAAAATATTCAAAGTTATTTATATAATAGCAAAAATCTTTCAAAATTATTTCACTTTTTATATAATTAATTATTTTACTTTTTTACTTTTATATATTAAATTATTTACTTTTTGTATTTATAAAAAATATATAAATAAAAAAATTATTTGAGTTTTAATTCAATATGTTATAAATAAAAAATAAAAATATTTTTTAATAAATATTTTCTAATAAATAATACATATTTTTTACTTTTAATTATATATATATTAAAGCTTATATACAAATAGTTTTGAATTATATTGTATTAACAAATTATTATTATTAAAATTATAAATTATAAATTATATTGTATAAATAGATTAAACTATTGTAAATAAAATTATTAATTTTTAATTATATTATATTTAACAAAATATTATTATTAAATTTATTAAATTTTAATTAAGTATTATGATTTTTGTTAGTTTGAATTTTTATTATTTATTTTAATAATTTAATATCTTTTATTTATAAGATAAATAAAGTAAAAAAGTTTTTGTTATTTTATTTTAGTTTTAAAAAGCTTTATACAAATATAGAAATTAATATCTTAAACTCTTTTTATTATTTATTTCTTTATTATTTTATATTTCTTTTTTTTATAATTCTTATTCTTTTATAACTCTTTTATATTATTTATTATTTTAAACTATTATAATTTGCATAAAAATTAATATAAAACTTAGATATTTTTTTGATTTATTTGTTTAATTTTTTTCTCTAAATCAAATCTAATTTAATATTTAGTAAACAAACTTGTAATAATACTTATAAATTTATTTAATTATATAAAAAAAATAATATTTAATAATAAAAAAATTTAAATAAAACAAATAAATATATATTTTTAATTTATTAATTTAACTATAAAATTAAATTTCTTTATAATTATTATTTTAGGAAAAGTAAATTTAAATAATTATAAAAAAATATAACTATAAAAAGTTTTTATTGTTATATTTATATATAAATAGAAAAATAAAATAATTGACTATAAAAAATATAAATATAAATAAATATAAATATAAATAAAAAGAAATTTGATGATATTATTTAATATATTATTTTTTTATTAATTAATTATTTAAATTATTAATTATAATAAATATGAAGTATAATATCTAAAGTCATTAAATGTTATATTTTACAAAATATATAAATTTCTTTATAAAGAAGTAAATACAAAATTTAATCTGTGAATATAATAGAATAGACTCTTTCTAAATATATTCACGAATTAAATTTTGTATTTACTTTTTAGTAAAGATATTTATATATTTTAAAATTAAAATATTAAAATCTTTAGATATTATGTATTATAATTATAATAATTAAAAAAAGATAGTTTTTTAAATATTATATTAAAATTATTAATTAATTATTCAAAATTTTATTAATTATATATCTAAAATAATATTAAAAATTTATAACAAATTATTAATTATATTAACTAATTATTGTTATTTAAAAAATATTTATTAATAATTTGTTTAATAATTTTTATAATAGTTAATTATATTTTAAATTTGTTTTAAAGAATAATATAATATATTTTCTAATTAAATTCTAATATTTATTATTAAAAAACTAGTTTTTCTTTTTTAAATAGATATTATATATTATAAGACTCTCAAAATTATGAAATTCTATATATAATTTTATAATAAAATATAATAAAAATTAAAATATTTATTTTATATAAAAGTTTCAATTTTATTAATAAATATTTTTTATTTTATATCAAAATAAAGATAGTTTAATATATATTTTTCTGAATTTTTTTGACAAAGCTATTCTAATTGCAAAATTATTATAAAGTTATTGCAAATATTTTTATAATTAATATATAAAATAATTATAAAAAATTATTATAGTAAGTATATAATTAGAATGACTTTGTAAAAAAAATTTATATTATACTAAATTTATAATTTTTATTTTAATATAAAAATAAAAAATATTTATTAATAAAATTGAAACTTTATATAAGACAAAAATTTTAATTTTTGCTATATTTTATATTTTATTAGTATAATATTAAGAATTATTATATATATATTAAAATAAAAATGAAATACAAAACAAATTTATTAATAAAATATAATAAAAATATAAAAAATATAATTTTTTATATAAATTTTTATTTTTATATTAAAATAAAGATAATATTATATAATTAAATATTTTATTTTTTAATTATATCTAAAATTAATATACAATATAATAACTTTGTCAAATTAAATCTAAAAAATCTAAAAAAATAAATAAAATTAAATTTATTTATATATTATTTGAATAAAATATATAATAGAATTATTATATTAAATTTATTATTTATTATTAAATTCATTATTAAAAATATTTTAATTATTTAACAAATTAATTTAAAATAAAAAATGATTCTTTTAACTTATTACTTAAAACTTTAAAAAATTTAAAAATCAAATAATAATATATATATATATTATTATATTTTTTTATTATATTATTTTATGAAAGATTAAATTTAATTAATAATAATTTATATAAATATATAATAATAATTTAAATAATTATAAAAATAATGAAAATTCAAATATAATAATTAATAAAATTATAAAATTAAATAATAATTTTATTAATAAAATATAATAAAATTTAAAATTTTTGTCTTATATAAAGGTTTTAATTTTTTTAATATTTTGACAAAGTTGCTTTAATTACAAAATTATTACAAAAATATAATACAAATAGTCTAAAAATATTTAATATATTA